GTGCTGAAGATAAGGAATGGTGTGCTTTGTGCTACATACTGGCGTCGCTTTGTTGTTGACCGGCGAGAACATTCTAGCTTCTCTACTTAGATATGGCTCTTTTGCCCCTTCTCTATCGGTCCTTTCCACGTTGGCGATAATACAAAGCGCAAATTATTTGGCTGGGTGACAATGATATTCCCGCTAACTGGTGGGAAAAAAAACTCGGTACGTCGTCGTGCAATCACCATCTCCGTCTTCTTAAAGCTCTCTTCACGTATTGCTTTTGGTCGCAAAAGAACGTCGAGCGACTTCTCGGTGCATCATTCGTTCAATTCTTCTATTCCGCCGGTCTTTACACATTTCTCTAGGTCTCGAGATAGCGTCTCTGGTTGAGATCCTGACAAAACAGAATGGACGTTGATAGCATTCCTGAAAATAAACCTGTAGGAGGATTCTACAGCGGGTGCGTTCGCATTTTATTATCCTTACACTTTTAGAGTTTCCTGATGTCCTCGTGTCGGGTTTCTCTTTGGTTTCTCTGTGGCTTCTTCATCCGCGGCATTTCACCTACTAGGGGAGTTCAAGGTCTTCCTGTTTTTACGATGGTCATGTTGGAACGCAACCATCAGTGATTCCTGCACCAACTCCATGGACTTGCCCCACAGCCTCGTGCTCCGGTGGGATGGCCCTACTGCGACGAGGCGAACGCTCTAACAGCAATGAAACAACGAAATTAGCACCTATATCCCTTTCTTCCATACCAAATGTCCATGTCAAAGGCAGTTTGAGATAAAATCCTTAACGATTCACAACTTGGAAAGAACTTGACAGAGAATGCAAGCTCCTGGGCACCGACAACCATAATTGTGAAAAAAACGTACTGATACATTCCTTGAATATCTTAACACACATACAAAACTACAGCTTCGTCCTGTAAGCCTGCTTGCCACGGCTTAGGAAGCTCATCAGCCGGGCATCAAACATGGTTCCCCCCCGCACCTCTCACCTATAACCAGTCTTCCCAGGTACGACCCCAAAAGCAGGTCCTCCCTTCCCAAACATTTTCCTCAAATCATCCACCAACGCCTGAGGCTTTTCATGCGCCGCAAAGTGTCCGCCGCCAGCATGTTCAGATTCAAAAACGACGTTACTGGTGGTATGACTCCAGCTGTGTGACGACGGCTCGGTACAGGCTTCTGCTCCGGGACACTGTATGAAAAGTACTTACAGACGAGGGAGAGAGATAAGTTCCTTCGGAAAGTACGATATGCCATGTGGAATAGCCGGTTTTTCTCCCAATACAGACTGCAAAGGGAGCTCAGACGACCCGAAAACCTCGTAGTATATGCGTATGGACGCTGTAGGACCTGATCGCGAGAACAAATAGATGGAGATCCATGTTAGGACTGGAAAAAAAAAACACATATCCAGATAAGCGACAATTGGGAGAGTGAATAAGTTTCCCGGGCCACCACCCCCACCTCACCTTCGTCATCATCCCAAGGGTACTCATCTGTCCAGTTGACGAGCTTTTCGAAAATCCACGCGAGGAGACCTACGGGAGAATCGGCGAGCGAATATCCCAGTGTTTGGGGCTGCGTAGAATGTTCCGCCGAGTAGCCGGTGCCTTTGGCGCGGAACCACTGGGCGCGAGCGAACCCGGCTTTCTCAGCAGCTGTGTACGGCGTCAAGAGGTGCCGTAGGTACAGTATGGGCTCGTGCAGAGTTGGAGGGCGACCGCTGTAGACGATCAGGATCGTCGAATGATGAAGCGAAGAGGGATACTTGCAGAGCCATGTTGCTATGCCAAGCTTTGCTATGCTTTCCCCCGTAGACTTGAGCGATTTTTCGCGTGATCTTTGCGATTGCGGTTGTCATGGTAACAATAGATGCTTCAATTGAAGACAGCACTCACCATGCTTCCCCAGTCTCCACCTTGAGCGACTGGAAGCGTAAAATTAGAAGACACATCCGAAAGGGTAGTCACGGACACGTACCATATTCATTGTAGCCCAGAGCCAGCATGAGCTTGTTGGCAACCTGCGATGTTCCTTCGGGTCAGCGATATTGAAATGTAATAACGGTCACCGTCGGTGGAGAGCAGCACCTCAGCATACTGTGCAAGTCGAAATCCTTGCTTTTTGCTGGCCTCTGAAAACCCGTACCCCGGCAAGCTGAGCGCGACGACATGGAAACTCGGATGGTCCGGCGACGACGCCGTCAGAAGTGGGAGAATCTTGCGGACTTCGATGAAGCTTCCCGGCCCTGCAAGGTAAAAGTTAACACATGAGCCAATCAAGTAGCAGCAAGCCAGGTACAGCCATGAACGAAGAGCAACGGCACAGCACCCTCGACCTCGCTCTTCTTATGCACATAGTGAATGTTCAGCACCCCAAAACCCTCGACCTCAATGTCGCGGGTGAACTGCGGGAGCTCCGCGTTGAGAGCGGCCTCTTGAGCTCGCCAGTCGAAGCCGCCTTTCCACCGAACCACCAGACGTTGAATATCCTTCAACGGCGCGCCATATTTCGTTCCGGAGTCTTCAAGTTCATCCGGAAATGTAACCAACGCAAGTTTCTGCTGTAGGAGCTTGAGTTTCTCGTCCGGGATGGATATTTTGAAGGGTGATTCTGGTGATGCCATTGAGGGATGCTGTAACCCAGGAATGTCAGCTTTTATACAACAACACCCACCGGTCATAGCGCTTACCTCCACGGCCCGTCGGAGAAAAGGATGCACTGCCGAACCGAAATATCGCAGGGACGAAGCTTTGACGTTGAACAGATAGGACAGAGCACAAAGCTAGATGTAGTCACTGGATACCGTTCTTCTCACACTTCGGCCCGAACTTTTTTTGACAACACCGTAAGCGATGTAAGCATAAGTACCTTCCACACTGAAGTTAGTACATGGCGTCAAGTCATCTAACCAAAGCTAAAATCCGCGAATAGTCCTCCCGAACACTCTGGAACGTTTCCTCCAGCTTCTCCAACCGCTCGTCCTTCTCCAGCTGCGCAAGAGTTTCCTGTTGACAGGTCATATTAGTGTCTGTCATACAGACGGGAAGGATACTCACAAAGTTAAATCTGTAGAGGCGTTCTTTGACTTGAAGCCGATATGCTCGAAGGTCAGCTGGGTCTAACCGCGACAGGATGAGCATCTCAATCAGACGATGGAATTGGCGCTGTTGGGTTCTTTGTCAGGTTCGACCACAGCTGATAGAGGAACACCTACACCGGCAATCTTGAGTTCCCGTCTCCACTTCTCTGCCCAATGCTTGTCAACCGGAGGTCCGAGTTTCCCCTTCTCGGAATGTCCGCCACGACCACTTCGACCACTTTTACCTACCCCGCCAACTCGCCCCCCACCGTGCGATAGGCCATCGCCACCGAATCCTTCTTGCATAAACTTGGTGTGGGCAAAGAGCATCTGTAAGTCGTTTTTGTCGCGAAGGTCTTCAAACGCTTCAGCAGGATCTTCCACTGTCAGTTCTGCTATATGACCTTGAGATAGGATGTATTGATAGATGGCTGAATATAGCGCAGCTGTAAAGCATTCAGTGAGCCAAAAAATCGCCTTTGCCGAAATGACCCTTGACCCTTACATCCGTGGGCTTTGTCGCTGATATGAGGAGAGAATAACGAATTGACTATGAAATTTCATAAATGAATGTTAATGAACTCATGCCTGTCGACGTACCTCAGTCGTAACCTGAATTTTTCTGGGAAATGGTAGAAGTTGTACAGGGACGAGTAGCCCACGAAATGATACGTGAAACTTCCATCCCGCCGTCTGCGTTTCTCGTATCTAGAAAGCAAGTCATAAGCATGATCAGCGCCGACAACTGAGCACGACGCACAAAACGACAAATTCCCATTGATCTTCATCTTCGTTGATATAAGACCCAGCTTCGATATATAGTAGAATAAAAAGTTGCATTCGTCGATGATATTCTCTAAACCCAGGAGTGTGAAATGTAGTCTGAAACCATAGCCTTTAGCTATGCGGACTGGACAGCGTAGCGCAACAACTCACATGATAAACCTCAAAATCAACCGTGTCCGTACTCTCAATAGCTTTTCCCTTTCCTTTTTGTGCTGGGAGTGGTCGTGAATACGAATGAATCATTTCTCCAAGAGGCTTGAAAGATGATGCGTCTTCTTCCACCTTGGCAACAAACTCAGCCAAGTCCGTGTAATACTCTACGAAGAATAAGCGGGAGATTTAGTAGCCAGACCAAAAACGTACCTAGAGGTATAAAGTCCTTTAATGTACCCTCAACATCATCCACTGTGGACGAGGCCCCCAGCTTTTCAGCATATTCGATTGATAAAAATTGAACCAAAGATCCTGATGCGAACCGCATCTGAAAGAAAAGTCACCGTGACCATTTGTCTCAAGCTTCGAGAAACGCACGTCAATAGTGAGGTCCTTGTAACCGTATATTTTCTCGTCGTCTCCGAATATCTATTGGCGACGATATTCAGCCACCCAAGCAACGACCAGCCAAAACGATGCTGCACGTACCGGATAGGTGAACGTTGGATGAAAGTCTTCATAGGACTCATCATCGCCCAAAACTTCTTTGTCCAAAGCAGCTCGTACTATGCGGGAGCGTTCAGTCCATGAATTCCTGCCCAGTGCCGTTGTGCTTACCCAGTGACAGCTTGAGAGCACTGTTCGAGTCTGCGGCCCATTCTGCCATATTTCGGGTGTTGCACGCGCACAGGAAGAAGTATCAAGGAAGAAGGCAACGATAAAGTCTTCTTTTGTGTCTTTGTCGCGTAATTCTGGATTGTTTGGAATGATACGAAGCACGGTGGTGGCAAGAGAAAGAAATAGCACGCGTCCAAAAAGGGTTGTTTGTTTGTGACATCCGGTAAACCCCAAAATCACGTGAAAGCCGTGACCGCCTGTCGAGCAGATACTTAGTAGATACCCTGAGGTCTCTGTGAAGAAACACAATTAAATAGCCATAAATTTCTAGGCGACCGTATCTGAATACCGGTGAAAAACTGACTAATGCCGTGCGAGGTCCTAGCCCTCAGAAATTGGAAAAGTCAAGTCCATAGCTTTATAACCAGCATCAGCAGCCCTTTCAAATCAGCATCACTTGAAACTTTGAGCCGGGGAAATAGCATTTCTTGCCCGGCAAATGACGCATCATCTTTTATTCCTGCGTGAGGGACAGAATTTAAGTTATCCTTGTCGACCACAGTTCATTTCGGCATTTCTTTTGGAAGTGGAAAAGATAGCTGTAAGTAGTCCCCTACAGGTCTTCAGAGGAAGACTCTGTATCCATACATGCGTGACTCTACGACTAGGAGTCACTTATGTGGTCACGGAAGAATGACGCCACAAAAACGGACCCTAATGATGAACGTCTGCACCCGTTCTCAGAGCTAGCAGCCCCATGGAGACGCACCAAACACGACTATGGGGAAAGACTGAGCATAAACGGAATGAATGGCCTATCGAAGGATGAGGCAGCATGCCGACACAACAGGGACATCAAAAAGATACAATCCCGGGACCACCTACTAATATACACAGATGGCTCGCAGCGGGACATACGGGGCCAGAGGCGAGTAGGGGCAGGTGTAATAGGGCTCAGAGATGGGACACAGGCATTCGGGTTTAGTATGGGCCTGGGGAGAAAAGCTGAAGTCTACGATGGAGAAATGGCAGCCCTCGCCATTGGAGCAACAAGAGCGACGAACCATGCGAAGGAAGATGGAGAAGTAAAGCACCTATACTTCTTCGCAGACAACTCATCAGCCATCAATGCCATATTTGACCCTTTACCCAGAACTGGACAAGCATTCTCAATACTATTCCACCGACGCATATGCCAATTCCTCGACAGCGATCCTATGCATACAGTCGAAATCTCGTGGTGCCCAGGCCACAAAGACATCGTAGGAAACGAACGAGCAGACTATCTGGCGAAGAA